AGTGGTTATGGTGGTCGGTTGCTGACCGGAAAGCGCCTGATTTGATCGCGGCCACTGCGGCACATTTTGGTAGAAGAGAAACGGTAGAGGCCCGTGTCTCAGGCGGTGTCGGTGCACGTTAAAAAACACCAGATGATAGAAATTTCCGGAGCTCTCAATTACAGTGTCGCTCATATTCTTATCATAGTTTATGAATGTAAAACTCTGTATAATATTGTGTAAGCATTAGAAAGTAACGCTCGCTAGTGAAAGCTCATGAATTAGTGTGATTAAGGGTCACTCACGCTTGCCAAACAAACGAGCGCTCGTGAAATGAAGCTAATATTGTTTGTTTGCTGAAGCCCTTCTCACTGAAATTCAGTGACGTTCATGCAAAACAGCCCTAACTGTTTACAGTCTTCCAACGGGGGAATATATATTACACGGGCTGACAGAAGTTTGTGGCGGTACAATACTTCTGATATGTTTCGACAGGTTTTGTGAGCGGAAAAAAATGCAATGAATTATTGCCGAATACCAGTCATAGTGAACTAACTCGTGCAGTCATATAAGGCGTGTCACTTAATACAGAACACCAGCGTAGAACATTGGATTACTAACACTGTTTTAAGCGTGTCGAAGCAAAGATAACTGAATAAATGAACTCGTTAAGCAATTCAGTGTTACGAATCGGTTCCCCAATTGGTTCGCCAATTGGTTTTTGGAAGCTGGTACTAAACCGGAGGGAAGTGCAGTTTCTTGAAAGTGAATTTGGATATAACAGATATTTTTTGGTCATCCTAATCACTATGCTTGGTCAGGAAGGAAGGAAAAATCGCCAAGGCAGGTAGGTTAGTTCATTCTTAGACAGGCTGTGTATACCCTGGGATGGGGAATTGGGTAAGTGGAATAGTAAATTATAGAAAAGAGATCCTACAAAAAAACGAACAGCAATTGAGAAGAAAGAAAGAGGAAAGGAGAATACGAAACTCCTTAAAAGTTAGTCTCTGTAAGACCGGTTGTGCGCTGGAAACGCAAGAATGCTTTCAAAGCCTTCGGCGCTGAGCACGGATATGGCCAGGGTCCCAGACCCCTTGTTCCGACAACAAGGATTATCAAGTCAATCTAGTGCTTGAGAAGATAAAACCATCTTATGAAAGTTTTAAACTAATCCTAAAGAAAGAGTATAAAGGTACGTGCTTGCGCGATAATGCTTCTGTTGAGTAATAACGCAGACAATATATGCAGTCACAGCATTAAGCCACGAGCCTATTGTTTTCGACCTTACGGCAAGTTTAAGAAAAACGCCTCTAATGTGAGCCCAGCTACACAGTGGCCGTCATAAGCGATGTCATTGATGTACTTTGTGTAGAAGTGTGCAGTGCACCAATTTACTGCGCGCTGTACTTGTACTTGACATATTATGCGCAATGTAAAAAAAAAAAAAAGCCAGGCCTGCTCGGGAGTCGGAAGGCGCAGCACAGTTACAGCGAAAGCTGAAAAAGTGGCCGTTAAGAGCCGTTTTCTAAACACTCTGAGTAAATGCAACAAGCACACTTGCAGGGTACCGGCAAGGTCATGAATAATCATAACTTACGTGTAGTAGGCCAGCCGTTCCTATGCTATCACTCGTCATATTCTTTGAAAAGCATAGTATCCACTACGCTTGCAAGGAATTTTGTGCAAATTTGTTATGCAGTGGCTGCTGGCGATGAAGAATTACGCCTTAAGTGCGTATGCACCCTAGTTAATTGGGGAACAAGAACAAAATTTTTTAATTGGTCGGAGTATCAAATGATTGATATGTGGGGTTTAACGTCCCAAAACCACCATCAGATTATGAGAGACGCCGTTGTGGAGGGCTCCGGAAATTTCGACAACCTGGGGTTGGTCGGAGTGTTGGACGACCCATTCGTTACACAATTTGCATTGTGTGACGCCTGGTACTTAATTTCCTGTTCTAAAACGCTCTATTTTACTTATACAAACGCGATTCCTTTCCCGACATCAAGCCGGACTAAGGAAAGTTTGCATCGGATGTTTTAAGCACCAGCGCGTCTGTGCGCTAGAAATTTGGGCTGGCACGCAAGGAACTCGGATTTATATACAGTTGGGTCCTTGGTGATTTTATTTACTGCCTTTTTAATATTTCCAGCGATACTGGCTGCGAACACCGGCGGAGGAAAACTACAGAGCACGTGACCATTGTTGTGATCTCATAACAGCTTTATCTGTAAAATATTGCACGTCATCTTCCCCTACGGGCAATCATGGTGGGATGCGAAAGCATCGCGAGGTTTCCGTTTCTTTTGTGTGATTTATGAGGCGGTGGTTGCCGAGGTGCTTGAATTATCACTTGCCTACGCTGACGTTTAAGTGCGGCTTCCCGGGCCTTCCTCTGCTACGCGGTGGTGGCGCTGCCGCTGCAACTAGCACAACGTGGACGTTGTTCAGGGCGTTCCGCACACCGCTGCATACAGAGAGAGAATGACGGAAGCACAGCGAACACGCACTTTCGCTGCCTCTCAGCTTCGAGATTCGTTTGCCAGCGTTGCCGTTTACGCCCAGCGTCACTAGCGTTCATAGTGCCAATTCAAAGCAGATCCACGGCTTGCCGGTATTGCAGTTTACGTTCAGCTTCGCGAGCGTCCAGAGCATCGTTACGAAGGAAAGTTGAATGAGAGTGAGTGTGCGCCGTGACGGAGAGGAAGAAAAGGAAGAGGAAAAACGAGGCGGACGCAGCGTTCACACCTCCTCCTCACCCCACCCTCTCCCAAATAGTGGCGCTCACGCGAGGAGAGGGGACCGAGTTGACGCATGCGCAGTATGGGTGCGGACGCCGTAGAACGGACACTGCCCCGAGCATAAGATGCTTTCGCATCTCAACATTATGAGATATTAGAGAGACCAAGGCGCGAACCTGCAAGTGTTATTAGTCTATTATTATGACTCTAAGACCATGGTTGCGCATGAAGAGAGCTTGCACCACGCAAACCAAGTTTCTAAATTTTACTTAAAAACCTGTTTAGAATTAGGCATGCGGTAAATGATCCCAGATGGTAAAAATTTGTAGAGCCCTGCTCTACGATTCAAGATCGTATTGCGCTTTTGACATGTAAACCTTCAGATATTATTGTATTTTGAAATTTCTATCTCTAACCTGCTCGCTCCGACTGCCATATGAACATGGACTGTGTGACGTCCGAGACTGAAGAGTCTGCGTGGATTCATTATGGAGGTCGTGCATCACCGTCACACTGTGCCGTTCCTTTGCCCTAGGGATAAGAACGGCGCATCAAACCCCTGAGCCAGGCTTTAAAAAATGCATATATATCCTAACCGTTTAAACTAGATTCTAATTTTGGCTTATGTAAAAGGAGGGTGATCGCAACCGAATTCATTTTCATTATAGGTAGGGTTGTCTGGGACTGTGAGATGATTTAGCAGCCTTATATGGTTCCCGCCTTGCCTCACTGTTCAACAGAGGAATAATTATATATTTTAATACCGGTTTCGAATCACACCAGACGCACAAAACCTTTGTCAACTTTTGCGCAATTCCTACATTATTTCAACCTCACAAACTTTGTAACAAACAAGGCCTTTTTAACCATTGTAACTGTGTTGCAGAGCTTTGCCATCATAAAAAAAGTGAAAAGCTGGAATACTGTAGGCAGGGGTGTAGCCAGGGGGTAATAGACACAACCCCTGCATTCTCCCCCCCCCCCCCCCCCCGAAAAATTTTCTGTCATTCGCTTGACTGTTGTATTATCACATTGCAGCGAAAGATGGCGTAATTTATGTTGTCGCTCAGGCAGAAGCTTCACATGGCCATTGTTCCGCGAACGGTAAGCCATGGAGAAGTAATAAAACAATATTTTAGCTACCGCCATAACTCTGGAACTAAGGTTGAGAAGGTTTACACAATACTGCAGCTTGCGCAAAAGACATTTAACCAGTCGTTTACAGTTGTGAAATAATCCTAACAGCAACATAGGTATTAGCAACACCAGGAGAGGTAAGCTGATATGAAGCGCTGGTACTCGCGAGGATGATAGCCCTGGACACTGCTACATAAATCAACTTCGGCGGATGACGCCTATGTATACAATAGACGCTAACTGCACGTGAGGGCTGTAATATCGGAGCAAACATGTTATGTTTATAGAATTGAATAGCCAGCACAGCAACCTTAATTGATGTTTCGCAAATAAAAGAGTTCATTTTAAAAGTAGTACCGAGACCTGGAGTAACTCTGTGGTAGAAAACTTGATTGCCCCGCAGAATGGCGGAGTGTGATTCCTGCTGGGACCCTGACATTTGTTCTCTGCATTCGTCGGGTCAACACTGCCGATTTCAGCTTTTTTTTAACGCTCACGCGTTAAAATTTCCTATGCACGTTCTCCGTTCCTGAGTAGATATGAAGTGCCACTCTGCGGTGGCACATTCCCGCATACAAGTGGTCTGCAGGTATGTTCCACTGTTTGGTGGAAAGTGTATTACGTCGTACGGGGCGAAATTGTGACATTATTCATTTCACGAATAACTATTTACTCGTCGAACCGTCTCACTCCTCATATAAATCTTTGTTTACCACAAGTTAAGGGGGCGATCATGGCATCATTCAGACGTAGGCGGCAAAATAGATACGTAGATGGACGCTCAAAGTTCCGACAGTACGCAAGAAAATGCTCCGCATTTGAAAGCTTAAATCAGGTGATCTTTTTAACCATTGGCTCACTGAATACGCACAGACAGGAACCACATGCTTTGCAAGCGATCAATTCAGCGTTTCGTTAAATTCACTTTCACGCTAAGCAAGCACCGTGTGGTATAAATTGTGGCTCCCCGTAAAATACGAGCAGGTAAAAAACCGCAGTTTTGGATTTTGCTGCAGTACGCGCAATTCGTCCGGCTCTGAAATGTTGCGCGCGGTGACTCATGGCAGCAGATGTTCTTTCAGCGCTGCGCAATAGCGACGGGTGGTTCTTGATATTCGAATCGCAGCTGGTGATGATGAAGTGAACATGCAGTAAGTTCCTCATATTATACCATATCACTGATTCGCTGGAATACGGACGGATGTCGGTGGTACAACCTCTTTGAGGCCCCTCTTCTAACTGACGTATCTCGAAGATGAAGTTGCTAAAGGTAAGAAATACTTGTCGTATAGATAAGATTGAACGTTCTATATTCCTTTTAAACACACACTCCCATCTATAATTCAAACACTGAGTATTGTCTGATGTAGTTTTCAATGGATCAATTTATTTCTTTAGCCGGCGATGCGATCTGTGTATTGAGAACTGTGTATCTGTATGCGCAAACAGAAGAAGCATGGCGATACTTTTTGCATGAAACCAAAGCACTGTTTCGAGAAAAAAATACTGGTTGCCATTCTCTTGAAGTTCACATTTGTAGTTCAGCTCACATTTTTTTTCCATTCTAGCACGCAGTAAGTTATTTACAACAGGTGTCACACCTTCTGAGATGAAGATTTGATTGACTTAAGTCTAACGGAGCAACGCGAATGGAATCTGAGATGAACAAGTTCAGGAAAGTCAATACTGATGGACAAGAATGTAGACAAAGAATGCGTGATATATTCTTTCTTTCTTTCTTTCTTTCTTTCTTTCTTTCTTTCTTTCTTTCTTTCTTTCTTTCTTTCTTTCTTTCTTTCTTTCTTTCTTTCTTTCTTTTCTTGCTTTTTTCTTTCCTTTTTTCTTTTCTTCTTTTCTTCTTCCTTTCTTTCTTTTTTCTTTCTTGCTTTCTTTCCTTCTTTTTTCTTTTTTTTCTTTCTACGCGATGGTCTGTGCTCCCTCCAAACATTATGATCTTGAAATGTTGGGGAAAGTGTCCATGTGATTATTAGCGTCAACGTTCGACAACAACGATGATCATTCGAACGATAAAATCGAAACAACTTCGAATGCCCCATTTGCATTGAACCGCGATTTCGTGCTCGCAGCTATGGGCAGTCCAACGGGCCCGCGACGTGGCGGACACGTTAGGCCTATCTGTCGCGACGTGGGAGCGGCCCACTACGTGCTAGTTTACACCCTGATGGACATAAATAAAGTTTTTCCGTACCATACCATACGATTGGCACCTGATTTTTTCATGAGCCAAACCGCTGCCACGGAAATTTGTAACTCATACAAGCTACGCTCAAAAAGTGCATGCATTAGGTGAGGTAGGTCAGGGACGAGTCCTTGCTGGAAAAAATGGGTATGATTACCACGTGTTATTTTAAACGACGAGACCCCTACGTGATGCCTATTTTTAACAATGACATAATGAGTGTTAAAATTATCAAAAGTATGCGAGCGACGCAATTCACTTCTCATAAGATGGTTTATCAGGCAGCTGTCTGCTGTAAGCACTAGTGTTGCAAGACGGCTTACTTTTTTCAAGAATTATTGGCGCATAGGTAATATGTGCAGGTTTAACAAAGCACAAGTATTCAACAAAACACATTAAAATTACGTCAAAAATACGAAGAGGATTGCCGCAGTAAACAAAGCGAGACAGTTAAACGGGAAGGGACGAACACACAGAGGTAAAATTACCAGAACACGAAGGGTGGCCGCTTTGCATTACCAGCACCCGAATGTTCTTTAGGTGGGATTAACAAACCCTACTTGTTTGTATCTGGCAAGCTCCGAGCACGCATTCAATGTTTGTTTTGTATCCACATGTGGGTCAAACTGCTGTCTAGGTTATCCTTTTATTTAGCAATGTGGTATCCCTTTTATTACCTGGGTTTGTAGAAGTACATCGATTCGTCCAACGGTATCTTTTCCATGCGTTCATTGTGTCTCATTCATATGCCTGTTTCAACGTGTCTTTAATGTGCTAGATGAAACTCTGCCATATCTCAATCATCGTTAGCTTGTCTTGATTGCCCTGTCATGTCCCAAGTAATAAATGCTGTTTGCAGCTGGCGTCGCTTTATCGTACAAAACCGTAGTCCGCAAAAATTGTCGTGCTGTTATGTCTTGCATGCAAGTCAGAACGATACTTCAGAAGACGCGTCATTGCATGAAACAAATTTGGCAGTGTCTCTACCTCTCCTGAAGCTCGTGTACTTCAAGAACCGTTGATTGTTTAGGTACATTATAAACGAGAAGATGCCTAAGTTGTACGCATGACCAGGATTTGGGGACATGTGCTGGTAGTGCCATCTTTTGTCGGCGCGACAGCATTGGTTTGTCGTAACTGAATGGAAAATGAGCAAGAACAAAGAGTATCTGACGAAAAAACGCTAATAACTAAAAAGAGCCCTCGGTTATATTCAGCAGATACTCACTGGATCGCACTGGTATAGAGAGACAGAAAGAAAAAGAAAATTTCTAGTTAGCTGCCCTGAACGGGGCCCTATGTATTTCCAGTTGACGGTGTTATACTGTATAGGCGACAATTTTCCTTGGAATTGGAGCGAAGGCTACAGAGCCAAATGGTGGGCATCCTACCGCCAATGAACGCAGTTCCACAACAGCACCCGTATTTTCACCGTGAAACGTAGAAGTTCCCCCTTTTTTTTTCTCCGTGGAGATATTTGAGACAGGACGCAGCTCCCAGCATTAAGATAGCCATATTTATTTTTTATTTACACTCGTACCCACAGCGCCATTTAGGCATTACAGGGGGGGGGGGGGGGTTGTTACACAGAGAATTTATACATCATACATTTCAAGAACATTGGTAGTGAAAAACTAAGGAGAAATAGCGGCATACATTGTTGCATACATTGTTGTCAATACACATGAATTTCATAAAGATCAGCGAACCCAGACAAAGAGAGAAAACAAAAATGAAATTTATACTGTACAAACATAAAAATACAAAAACGATGTGATACGGTATAAATACTGCATAAAATTCGACTGCAGCTGAAGACAGAATGAGATGTCAAAAAGCGGCTGCAAAAGCTTCGTTATCTATTATGCTGACCTGTCAGCAGGCAGACGATTCCATTCAGAGATAGTTTTGGGGAAAAAGTGCCTAAGTTTAATATATTTGTTGTGACTTTGCGTTTTTTAATGTGCGAGAAAGTACCGCCTTTTTACGTGCACCTAAAACGCTAAGCGGTGTCTTCGTCTACATGAGACGCTGATGGTGCGCCCCCGTCACTTTCCCTACAGTTAAGAGAAGTGCGCCAAAACGTCCTACTTCACGTTGTGCTACATGTGCAGAAGCTCCACCTCCGTAGCTTTCCCTTCAGTGGCAAAAAAAAGTTGTCACCGAGTATAGATTGCTCTGGGAAGCCGCATGCTTCGTAGTGTGATATTTAGTGTGGGATACTTCATATAGTGTGATACGTATTGTGATACAAGTTGCTCAAGTGAGTCTCCACTGCGTATAACCGAGAGTCATTCTGGATGACTCACCCGCCGTGGTGGTCTGGTGGCTAAGGTGCTCGTTTGCTGACCCGCAGGTCATGGGATCAAATCCCGGCTGCAGCGGCTAAATTTTCAATGCAAGCGAAAATGCTGTAGGCAAGTGTGCTCATATTTGGGTGTACTCTAAAAAACCACAGGTGGTCCAAATTTCCGGAGCCCTCCACTACGGCGTCTCTCATTATCGCATGGTGGTTTTGGAACGTTAAACTCCACATAACAATCAATCATCAAATCAATCATAATTATATAATAATTTTGACAGATTAAACCCCAGCGATTATTACTGAGTTTAATTAGTACCTTTTTCCATCAGCTACCATTCTTCTTCGCCTATTTCCCACTCAGTTATCGCAGGACACAGATTGGTGTCCACAGGTTGCTGCCACAGATTGGTGGTGTCTAGTACCGATATCCCAAATTTCTGGGAATCCTTGATCCTAAATGGTATTTAATTTTCGTTTCCTTCTAATGAAAATGGATTGACGGTGGCACTTTTCTGACAGGGCATGTGTCATTCTCGTTTCAGCCTGCTCATGTGAAGAATATGACACTCATGTCATGTGGAGTATTCATCTTACTGCTCACCTTTCATCAAGCTCGTTCTGCAGCCGGTGAGAAGAAAAAAAATATAATCGAAAAATCGTGCCTAAGTGCCTCCGTTTGGTACATTGAACAATGATCGCGAGAAAAAGGCGGCGGATTTTTTTGAGGGGTGGTGGAGGGGGGGGGGGGTGTTCGATCAATTTCAATTAGAACAGCTCGCGGTCTTTTATCTTGATTCAGCTTCAGCAGCTCACGCCATGCACTTATAGTGTGATCATGTAATCTGGCCTCACAGCAATGCAGTGTTGGTTGGTTGATTGTTTCCTCATTATCTTGGTTCAACCCACTGCGGGGGACAGGCCGTCACTCGAACGGTGCCTTGCTTATGAACCTGATTCACTTACTGAAAGAAAACGTTGAAAGTCATTTCTTTAGCTATTACATACTAACAGCACCGTGTCTCCATTTTATCAAAAGTCTTGTTTTTCTCGTCATTCTACTTAAGGAGGAGGTTGGGTGCTGCGCCATTTGCAATGTGAGTTATTAGAGTTCCACATTTAATAACAACAACAATAATAATAATAATAATAATAATAATAATATTAATAATAATACATTTTATGTTATACTTCGTAGAACAGCACATGACTTGTGAAGTAAAAACAGTATTGGATGACTAAGCCCTGCATAGGTAAATAAACACACCAAAAGTCGACTTCCTTTGTATAACGCGGGAACGACAAATTCGATGAAAATCCAGAGTGCCTGCTGCAACAAGCAAAAAACATTAGGGTGAGTAATCAGTCAAACAAGTAGGAACATGATGAATGTTGATTCATGTGGGACATGTTTATTATGTAAACGTTTTGTAGGCGCAAAAAAAAACATTGCCGAAGACTTCCTTGCAAATTACTCGGATATAGAGATTTTCAATAGCTTCAGTATTCTGTGTAAACAGAAGCAGGGACAGTTGGCACGAGATGCGAGCATGTGGTGCGAGACACGAGCATGCGTAGCGAAGGTGCAGACGACAACGCCGACGCTGGATTTGCGAGTAGGTGCTCCACATTTGAAACATATTCGGCATATCCCACGCCAGTGCGAATTGAATTCGTGCGAAGCAGGCAGCGAGTAGTTCTACGCTGAATTTCTCGGCTTTCAGTCAAGCGTTGCGGGGTGGACCAAGTGACGACCAACGTACCTTTATAAGAGTAGTGTGTTGTGTGCAAATCTTGGCTTACCATGCACGTGACAGCCCTGGCTACATATTCTGTTTGGCTTCATTATTGTCCGGTCAGAGAAATAAACGAGGCCCTAAATGTTATCTTCCGGCGTTTAATGAGTAACTTGTGGTTAAACATAGCACTACCACCATCAGCACTCATGAACACATACGCCCAATGAACCATCGGATGTACATGTTCTTTCAACGTCATCTCATATCCATGTTCATGTAAATAACGTCTGTTTTGTCATCATCATTAGAGTATATTTAAGAAGGAAATGTTCTGTTGAGTGTTATTGACGTTTCTGACAATAAATGTTTTGTCAACACATGAACGCAGATAGCCTCCGGCATTCGGATCGATGGCTCCATTTATGCCAACCGTAGGGATTTATTCCTAAATTTTTGTCGATGCGGCCTCATCAAGTGGGAGGCCCAAAGGAAAGCTTTCAGCTTTTCTATAGTGGAGTACTGAGTGCTCCTAATCTTTAACCACATTTACGAGCTTGATCCTTTTGCCGGGGGTTTGTCTCTCGTCCTTGCGCCGGTGTGTACGCTAGCGCTCATTGCTCCCGCTAAAAGAGCAGCTGTGCTCTTCGTTTCGAGAGCGCTCACTAGATGCCGCGCCGCCGCTCAGGTGACGCTCGCTCCACTCTCGGCGCATGGTCTAGACCGCAAGCTGGCCGCGCCTATATGAAGCGCTCACTCTCGGTGCACTTCCTTTCTTTTTCGCAGGACATCACCCAGTGCGCGTCGAAACCACTACCCACTATAAATAGCGCAAAAGCCAAGTTGGTGACGCGGAGGGCTCGCCGGCAGAGCCCTCCTCGAACTTTCCACTACATTCTATAACTCAAGGTCCTTCAACTTTGTACTTTACGGATCACAAAGTCAATATACTAAAAGGAAAGCCTGCTACAAGGCAATGTGATCTGTAAATAAGCTCTTAAACAAAATGTGTATGCTGTATAAGTATGTAAATATCTGTATATAGTACATTGATATATAAATAATTAAAATTATGTATATAACGTGTATATAGAATCACACCACAACAACTCTCGTCTCACGTCTTTATACGATTATGATTGAGCATATGTACAGGAGATTCATGTTTACCGATTTAACCTCTATAGATCAAGCTCCTTCATCACTATTCTGAATATGTTCGAATATTTTCTAAATACATGTGAGGCTCCTTGCTGAAATCGGGCACGTTCTCAATTTGGGACGGCTCCTTGCCCTACCGTCGTAGTGTAGAAAGTACTCTGAATCGTTAACCACCTTTTCTAAGCACACATTATCGAAGCGAATGGTGCTTTACGGGCCGATGATGTCAATATCATACTCGATTTCGTTAGCACATTCCACCAGCATAGACCCATTCCCCCAATTGTAAAGCAAGCTTTTCTGTTGTGCAGTTGGCCCAATCAATTCTAGTCTTTCCCTGCAAACAGTGAGTTTAGGCGCAGTTTGATAGTGCTATCCCATGGAAAATGTAAACACCGTTCTCTTGAGTCAAATACGCATGATAGTCGATCCGCGGCACATTCAAAATAGGACCTCGTCTCCACTAGTAGCAAGAGAGATGCCGACATTAGTTGGGCGAATATGAGGTGCAGAAAAGCGCCCATGCGGTTTGTGAAAAGGATTTATTGAACAGCGCTGGGATATAACTTGCTCAATCATAGGAAATCGAATGTTTATGGCACTGTGATATAAAGATGGAGCAAACACTAGAATCACTGACGTTAGCCTGACAGGATGCATGCACCATGTTAGTGCATAAGTGTTCATTGCTTAAAAATAGCTTGAGATAGCCACCACCATAATCACATTTGGCGTCGCACCGGGATTACGCCTGCATAGATATCTCAGGGCAGTTTCTCGAAAAGGCGCGGCTTTGTAGTAGAATATATGACTGCCAGCGAGAATGTTTGGGATCAATTCCAGCTAGGACCCTAACTTTAGGTGCGAATCACCTTAGTAGCTCTGCTGGGTGGTGTCTACTGTCCTTGAAGTGTGTCGTGCACTCACGATTCATCATAATGTTAACTCCACGATATCCCGTCATCCTATCATGGCATCATGACGACACAAGGTCAACAAAATTGGCGGCGCAATCATGACGTGATCATGACGTTCCAAATCACTTTATGGTCTCGGCATCTTCACGTCTAATGTCATCACGGTGTGTCATGTAGACACTTTCTCTCATAAAAACGAGTACGCACCACGAAAATAGGGCAAATCTTATCAGTCGGCACTGGTGCCCTGAGAACGAAAAAAGGTCCAAGTTCACCCGAAATATAGCCGACGACATCTGTCCAGATGAAACATTTTTCCATAAT